AAGGAATTCAAGAATTGGTACTACCCGAAAACGAAAGAGATCAAAGTCGATTCCCCTTTATTTTCAGATGTCACCATTTCTCGAATTCTTGCCTAAAAAGACCTTTCGAAACGAAAAGTTGTATCCCAATAGATCAATAAGAGAATCTGCGAAACTCAACCTATCATCACATGTACCAAGTTCTGTGATCTTGTTAACTGGCAAATGGTGATCTATGACGTACGATTGAATTCTCCTACACTCACACAAATAAACTGTATGAATAGGACTAAAGTGCATGGTAGAGCGTAAATTTGTGATTTATTCACCTCATCTGGCTTTTACTCTGTCAAACGAGGAGACACCATGTTAGCCGTGACTTTCTTTTTTATAAAAGGCCAATATAGTAAAATAGGTGCAGTAAAAACCAGATTATTGAGGCTGGGCTATGCGGGACATGGTGAATGCTACATTAGTGAACATGAAACATTGGCCTGTAGTCAAAAGGAGAGAGTTTATAAACAAGCAACAAGGCGACATTTGTTGAGCAGCATATCTTGGAAAACGGAGGATTGTGCGCGTAAGAGGCTTACTCGATTGCAGACAACAGCGATGATCGGCCTATGGAAAGAGTGGAGCGGCTGATGAATGCGTGGAGTGAGGATCATCAGTTCGGAGGATGAAGGAGGAGAAAAAGTAATGTCAACTTGCGAGTGAATCGGATCAATTCTGAACCATTCGGGCCCGATCTCGTCGGGCCGGATCGAGTCGAGTCGAATCGAGTCGGCTTATTAGTCAATGTTACGCAGTCTTCCCAACAGGTCGGTGTTCTGCTCGATGATGAGGCTCCGCTCGGAATGCCGACCCTCCAGAGCGTGCATAGTCATCACGCCGACGGCGAGCATGCAGAACGCGTGGATGAGGAAGGCCAGCGAGAGGAGGAGGCTGGGCCGAGCAATAAAAGCCGGGTCCGAGATGCGCGCCTCCACGTGTTGCCACACCTCACGAGGTACCACTTTGGTGAACTCGGCCAGGTTGGTGCGAGCCTCAGCGCGCCTCGGCCCTGCGACGACGAGCAGCAGAAGCACCGCCAGACCTGCCAGACCGAGGACATTCCCGCGACTGCCGCTTGCGCGGTTGACTCGAGGCGCTGGCATTTGCAAGGTAGAAAGAGACTGAAAACCAACCGTCTGTCCGTGTATGCCGGCTGCGGGGCGAATTGAGGCCGGCGCCGAATTCGCACATCGTCCAAACAAGGCGTCATCGATCAGAGACTGTAAAACACTTTCGACCACACTGGGCCGGCCGAACTCGAGCGGACTTAGCTGGATCAACCTGAACGGACATAAGTACGGTCGAGTGGACAGGCTGAATGGGGTGATGTTCGTGGGTTGAGTTGCTGGGACGTAATCTGAGGCTTGGGCCTTTGTCGAGGAGGCGATCAAGCGGATCCGGCTGGGCTAGGGATGCTGGGGATGCTGACGGTCGCAGCCCAAGCTAACCGTCTGCCTTGAGAGGGTATAAAGTGACCACACAAACAAGCGGAATGCATTATCCTCCTCGACACATTAGCCCTAGTTGTGTACAAAAATAGGCTGCCCTGGCAACACCTTGCTATTGACATTTGTATTCGTCGAGGCAATAGCAACGCGTTATTCTACTGCTCGGTCAGGGTATTGAGAAAGGTAATAGGGGGACAAGTTCTTGGTCCCTTCTCGGTCCAGAAGAAGCTCGATACTCAGCGAATGGGTTTAGAGGCCGTAAGCGTAGGCTTTAAGTAGGAACTTTGGTCGTAGAAGGTCGTATAAAAAGATTAAGGACTCAAGATAGAAGTATGCGAGTAGATCTCATGATGCAGCCGAGTTTTGCTCATCCAAAAACTATTTTTCTTAATCAGAATGGACGGAAATGCAATTTCAACCGTTCCTCGGTCTCATCACCATCTACGGGACTCGAGCGCATCTAATAAATTCTTGTTAACGACAAGTTGAAATATAGGTGGCATTCTCAGGCCAGGTCAGTCTTTTTTTGCTTAAGCTAAAACTTGCATAGTGTTATGAGATGTATTCACCCAATTTCGTTTCACCTTAAACAAAATAGGGTGATTACATCTCATATTATTGATTTACTGATAGTCTCGAAATTCTACTTACATACGAAAAAATAGCACATTTGATTTGACCTCGTTTTCGCAACTTGGTTGGAGCGACAAGGAAAGCAAGGATGTGTGAATTTAAATAAAATGTGAGGTTTGAAAGTTATACTATCAGTCCCTTTATCATCTTCAACGAAATAGGGTGAGTATACCTTTTCAAGAAGCTTCTGCCATTTTGTTCATGCTTACTTCTATTGTCGGAACATGGAATGGTAAATTGCCAGACAACTTTGGCTCGAGGATATATGATAGATGAGTACAGCAGAATTGGAAAGATGCCACAAGTCGTTAGCCAAAATATGCAGAAAAGCAATAGTG